GTGCATAAATACATATACTATGAGTATATTGTTATATATTTGCTTTGATTAATAGTTCAATCAACTATGTTAATTTCATACAGAAATTTATTAAGGGACTATGCATGGATATTCTACTTTCTATGATGATAGTAGTTTATTATTTGAGCTTAACTTGTAGAGTCACTATCTTAAGTATCTTATATGGATTAACTTATAGAATATTCACAATAACAGTAGGAGAAGGGCATTATTATCTCTATTTTACAGATGTAGAACTTAAGACACCGAGAGCTTAAACAGCTAGATAAAGATCACAAATAAAGAAAAAAAGCAGAACTTGAACCCTTGCAGCATACCTTCAGAGACCGAAACCTGAGCAATGATACCAAACTTCTTCTCATAGTCCTCAGTCTAAAGAATTTTGAATAGATACATAGAGGACATTAAATAAATGCTCATCTATCTCAGTTGGCCTAGACCTGGAAGTCCATGCCTAAGCTTTTGTAGAGATGCATGGGTTCAGGATTAATTGTACACTGAGTTCTATAAAACCTTTTTGGAGTTATTGGCTATGGATGTAATTACTATAATGACAGCAAATGCTGTAATTACACCAAACAGCATAATTTGTGTAAATGTGGTACATATAAGGAAATCACTAGATTGCAAAATTGTAGCACCATGATGAGGTTGCAAGGTTCCTTGTTAAATTAGATAAAGATGTGTGTAACTATGGAGCACGGATTTCACTTTGATGGTAAAAAGAAGGCACCATTTAGATGTTAGACAAGACAAACCAAATTTCATTTCAAACATTTTCAAACACCTCTTTTCAAAATTACATGCATCACTTAATGACTTACTAAGCCCAAATAGAACTGTTTCCCCATCTGATGTTGTCTGTAGATTAGATGAATCAAATCCTAAATGAGGACATACTTGGTGAGAGTGATCTATACTGCACTGAACTTTCCAATGTGGGTTTTAGACCTTCCAGTTAAGTTAGAGTATTCTAAATCACTATAAAATGGTATCCTAGAAAACCAGTCCCAGTTCTTGGGACTTGAGCAACTAATAGTTTGAATGTGATGACAAACAAAGATCATCCTTAAATGTTAAGCTAAACTGGCTAACATAGCCTTATAAAATCATAATTAAACTCAACTGCCTATATGGCCATAAAAAATTCAGATTTTTCTTTTCTTTTTTTTTTTTGTGAGAGAGAATTTTTGCTATAGAGTCTGTGTGTGTACTGGAGAGACAGAAAGAAAAGTGAGAAATCACTCCCCAGGGGGAATGACCATGCCTCAATCCCTTCTCCTCCATTCTTCTCCTGGGATTTTGGGTACACATGCACATTCACCCAGTGTGAGTATCAAGTCACCAGGCCCAGGACTCGAACCAGCACCTTAACTACTATGCCATCCGCTGGCTTCTTCAGTATGTTTTATAAGGGAACTATGTCTACAGTTGTTAGGTGATTATAAAGATCACAAGTATCCAAAGAAGATTTAGAAGCACTACTTTGAATGATTGTCTGCTTTGATGGAATACACACACACACACACACACACACACACAGAGTTAAATTTTTAGCCTTGTAGACATTAAAATACAAGTATAAATACTGATAAAAAAGATACATGAGGTTACATATTTTGGAGACCAGATTTAATTTTTAGGTCATGGCTTTTGGGCCTATGGTTTACATCATTTCTGAAACTTTCATGTAGAAATCCTGTATAGAATTTCCGATAGGAGAACCAAAAGAGTAATTTCATTATGCCACACTGAATTATGTTAATGTTCATTTTGCAAGTATGTTTACAAATAATAAGCATAACTGTCTTTATAGGAAAATAAATCATTAGATTTATGAACAAATACAAAAGAAAAGAAGAGAATTTGTTCATTTGGAATCCCAGAATCCCAGAGGTGGGACAGTTTTTGAGGCCCCTATTTCAGCTTTTATTTGATGGGATAGCAATAATAACTAGAAATAAAGAAAACAGCATAATAATTCCAACTTACAGGCTTTGGAGTTTTCCATGGAGAAAAGAAACCTGTAATAAAGAAAACAGTATTTGAACTTTGGAAATATAATCCACTACCAGTTAGAGGTAATATATTAAGGTAATTGCAATCAACTTTAAATTAATCAATAGTAACAATAACAACAATAACACTTCTGCCTGTCTTTATAGTTGCTTCAAGTAACTCAAATAATTTCACTGGAATTATACTATGATTCTAGGAGCATTTCCATATTTGGCAATTGAGGCTTATGAGGCACAGGAAAGATGGGTATACAACAAATGGTCAGCCATTTTACAAGGCCCAAAACTGAGTTACCCTTAGGATTTCTGCCACTTAACCTGAGCTGGGGGAGGAGATATTTTTGAATAGCATAAGAAATAATTCTCTTTATCTACTTGCTTTATGTGGTTAAACATGAATCAATGAGCCTTTATTATTTTTAAGTAAAAAGTAATATATATCTATATTATGTATATTTTACTATGAATTTTTATGTGACTATTCCTTTGTTTATATATTCTCTACAGCAGATATCTAATTATCCTTCCACACCAGTGCTAGCTTAATATCCTGCATGAAGACACTCAAAGTGTTTGGTCCTTGAATGAACTATGCACCATCAAAACCTTTTTGTCCCAACTTATTGAGCACTTTCTATTACTATGAATGTTACTATGATTACAATGACCCTTGTTGTAAGTCAAATGACTAGTGAAATCATCGAAAGTAAAGGATAAATTAACTTTTTCTTTTTTTCTCTTTTATTATTATATCATTGGAATCAGTTTTTTAAAAAGGTGATAAAAACAAACTTAAAAATAATGGGAGAGGGACCAGCAGATGGCATAATGGTTACATTGCTGGATTCCCATGTAGTTGACTGTGGTTCAAGTCCCAGACCTAGTGACTTAAAACTCATGCCAGGTGGACATGTGCGTGTTTGTGTGTGTGTCTAAAATCCCAAGAGGAGAATGCAGAAGGAAGGCTTGCAGTGTGGCCAACCCCTGCCCTCATCCCCCAGTGAGTGATTTCTCTCTTTCTGTCTTTCTGTGAGTGCATGTGCCCTATAGCAAAAATCTCCCTAAAATAAAATAATAGGAGAAGAGGAGATCATCATATATTGCTCCAAATTTAATCTAGCAAATAAAACAAAATTACAATTTTTTTCATATCACCTTCCCCCTTTCAACAATATTTCTTACGTTAATATAAGAAGTGTGTCATAAAATACCCAATAAAAATGAAATATTGAAAACATGCTGCATCTTATGTTTACCAACTTTAAAGCTGAGACTTATCCAAAATGTCAGTAAACAGTTTACAACCATAACCCATTTATGGGGACTCTATAGAAATTACCTAGATGCTTAAACGACTCAACCTAGTCATGGCGAAAACACTAATTGTATATCATCACACAGTTGTAAAGAACTGATGATTCTTTTTATGAAAAGAGTGATTATGTTTCTCAGCTTCCTTTGAAACTCAGAGTTAAATTTAATGCCCAAGTATAATAGCCATCTTATCCAAGAAGCCGGGTAGAATTAATTCTCTTTCTGTCTCACACACTCCATTTGTTCTTATCTCTCTTTTCAATGAATGAAAAAGAAATCTGTTCAATGTGGGACTTGATTATAACTGAATTATAAAGATTTTAATCACATCCTTTTTGGAAAAAAATTGAGAGTAAAAATTACAGAGAAATAAATACATTCATCTTCTGATTCATTCTATAAAATAACAATGAAAACAATTTAACTATGAGTTAAAAAGTTGCAAAAAATTTAACCTATTGGCCAATTAACCGTTATTTTCAGTGAATGATAGAATTTATCTGCTGTTTTATAGAATTGCCAGCAACATTTCTTTTGAGAAGAGTTGCCATTTATACATTTTTACACTGTCAAAACATTCAATTACTTCTTCTGCTTTCTTTGTGTTGTCACCTTCTTCCTGGAGTGCTGAAACAGATTTTGAGTATTTGCTGTTTCACATTTGATAGGTACTGGGAGTTTCTTAGGCTTTGATTCAGAGGTATTGAAAATGGTTTCTCTATTATGGAGCTCTCATCTTCACATGGGACATTATCTGTCTTAAAAGATGATTCTTCCTCCTATGAAAAATGTATAATCATCTGACCTTTCAGCAGTTATGGTGCCAGAACTAAAGTGGCCTAAGAGGGAGCTTGGTCAAGAGCAGACAAGGAGAGAGGGTGTATAATTTGACCACCTTTCATCATCAGCACTTTGGTTTCTCATTCTTTTAAGCCTGTTTCATTTAGTCTGACCTCGGACTCTTGGCATGACCCAGGACTTCTTTACTGCTCCCATTATGGTATTTTCTGGAATTTTCTAATGCTGCATTACACTGCAGAGGTTTCAATCTCTGAAGCAATGGTTGTCCTTTCTGAGTCATTGTTAGAAAGAAGCTGCTTGCTACGGAGTAATTTTAGGTAGTAAAAATAGCATCAGAATAGATTTCCTTAAATACGACTTACTTATGTGACCCATTGTGTTTCTTTGGCAAATTATCGATCATCCTATAAACATGTAAATTAAGATAAATAGAAAATATTTATTTTGGATACACTCAATTTGGTCCTGATTAAGCCAGATGGTCAAGTTTTCTATGTGACTAAACTGTGATTTTCTGGTTGCCTTCATTGGCAGAGCTACAAAAACACTCTAATGGTATGGGTCAAACTCTTATATTTTATAAATTTACTACATTGTTGTGGGGATAGCCCTTCTAGGAAATATAATCTATTCTAATTAATACTTTAAAAAATGAAAACTTTAAAATCCTTTATGAGACATCCAAGCTATTATATTGAGTTCATTTTATTTAGTTTATTTCTGAAATTATCTTTTTTTTCAAGAGCCAATTTTTATTATCTCTTCATTTCTTGCATTTGAAGTACTCTCCAATGACATCCTTGGCCTGAGAGTCCTTGCCATAGTCCTTTACTACACAGCTGCAACCAACCACTTTACCAGGTTTTCCCTCTCTGTCAATTTTACAGAAGCCTACTCGTTCTAGTTTCTTGTTGTCATCAACCTTAATGAGGTTGCTTTGGTGTTCAGCACAAAGGGCCTCCACCAACTTGACATACATAGGTTCATCACAGGTGGATGCAAGCACACACAGGTGGGCTTGGCGCTTGTCTAAGGCTTTGGCGGCTTCGCAAATTCCACGTGCTAGGCCATCGTGGATGAGGGCGATCTTCAGCATCTCTTGTAAAGCAGTATTAATGTCCATTACACTTCCAGCCGCAGTGCCTTCCTTGGCCCTGGCGGTGGATTACGGGTGGACCCGAATCTTGAACGCACCTGAGCCTCTGCCTCTGCCCAACTCGGCGGCAGCAGGGAAAGA